CTTTTTGTCTGTCTCTCTCTGTCTTTCTGGTGAGCACACGCGCCCTATAGCAAAAACCTCTCAAAAAAAAAAAAAACCTCTCCAAAACAAAAAGAAGAGGGGAGGAGGTCAGTTAGTACATGAATTATCTTTTTTCCTTTAGTCATAATAGTGTGCATGTGCTCATGTTTGTGCACTCAGAAAAGAGAAACAAAGTGAGAGAAAGCACTCCCAGTGGGCCTCGTCATGCTAAATCCTTCCTCCAACTCTCTATCCTGTCAGTATCCTGGGCATATATGCACACATCTCGGCATGCTGTGGCAAGGGCAGGAATCTGAAACCCAGTTGGCCATGTGGGATGCAGCTTCCTCTGCAGAGTGCTTAACTGCTATGGGGCCAGCCCATGAATTACTTTTTTTTTTTTTTTAAGTTTTTGCAATAGAGCATATGCTCACTGGAGAGGAGAGACACAGAGACAGTGAGAGTGAAAGTGAGAAATCACCCCCCAAGGAGGATGGCCAGACTACACTCCCTTTCTCCATTCTCTCCCTAGGATTTAGGACATGCACACACAAGCACCTGGCAGCTTGATTTTCAAGTCGTCAGGTCTGGGACTCAAACTGTGATCAGTAATGTGAGAGTCAGTGTGCCTTAACCATCACACCACCTGCTGGTCCCCACAAATCACATCTTAATAAAATTTTTTTAAAAATAGGATGATCAGTGCCGGCAGGAGGCATGGCAGTTAAGGTGCTGGAATCCCACGTGGCCAAAAAACAGTTTGAGTCCTGAGTCTGGCAGTTTGCTTTCTCATTTTCCCTCTCTTTTTCTTTCTCTTTCTTTGTCTCTGGGGAGTGTGTATGTGCATGCCCTGTAGCAAATTGGAAAATAATAATAATAATAAATAAAATTAAGTAATTCTTAAATAAGATAATTACAGAAAATGGGGAATGATATGAACACACAATTAAAAGGACATAAACCCAGCAGATAAAAAAATTACATCTTATTGATAATAAAGAAAATAAATAAATAAATGTTTTACCTATCATATTGCCACAAAATTTAAAAACTGGTAATATCCCATGTTTGGAAGAATTTGGGGAAATGGTACTCTCACACTTTGATGGTGAGGGTCCACCATTCCACCAATTCTGTCTTTTGTCCCTAAAAAAAAACACACATAAGTACAAAGATTCATTCCTACAACCATTTTCAGCCAACCCTAATAAACATCTCAGAGTCAACAAGATGCAGACTGGAAGTCTAGGACAAAGAGGTGCCAGTAAAGGGAAAAACAACAAGGAGAGGACTGATGATTCACTTTATTTAAGGTCAGCCCTAGCCTTACCTCTTAGCGGTAGTCACTGTATTTGCCCCAAGTCATGAGAACCATGAAAAAGTTCCTATTTGGAGAAATTAAATGATCTAAACCAGCTTAGCAGAATAATTTTAAAAACAGTATCAGCCTCTTCTACTTCCAACAGATGCACATACATGAAAATCCCATTTTAAAATAAGATGTCTTATTTTTTTTTCTGTGTGAAATTACTAACATACTGGAGGACAGTCAAAGGAGAAAAATAATGAAACTCACCTGTCCAATGACTTTGAGTTTAATGTATTCTCCTTCCTTCTTATCCCCCAAGTCTTCAGTTGAGGGTTTTGCCTCCTAAAAGAAAAATAAATTTCAAGATAAAAGCCCTATACACTATTTTACAATAATTGTTCACTTACAAGTATCTGTTACTTTCTCTCAGAGTATAAAAATTGCACCTGAGAATACAAAGAGCATTTATTTTCTGTCAGTTAATAAACCAAAAATGGCCCTAAATCAATTACTTATACCAAATACCAACTTACTAGAAATAAAGGATCTATTATTATAATATCACACAATAATATTCTAGAACTTTACCATGCACTGAAACCATCTGAAGGTAACAAGGCCCAGCTAAGCAGTGCACACTACTTGACACCGCTATAGCAGCCTGAGGCCACAAGGGAGGCCCAGGTATGATTCCCAGCCACCCTAAAAAGCTGGCCAAAGTAGCAATGCCTGTAGTCCCAGCTACATGGAAGGTTGAAGCAGAAAGATCAAAAACAGAGAACCTATCTTAAAAAAAAAAAAAAAAAAATCAGAGCCAGCAGGTGGCGTGGTGGTTAAGGTGGATGGACTCCCACATGGCTGACTACAGTTTGGTTCAAGTCCCAAACCTGGAAACTTGTTCTCTCACTTTTATTCTCTTTCTCTGTCTCTCTCTCTCTGCTCAACTTCAAAAAAATAAAAATGACAATGAATAAGATTATATAAAATAATTCTTTTAAAAAATAATCAGCTGGCGGACTTGTTTAAAATAAACTGCTATGTCTCACCCCCAGTTTTTTATTTAGCTGGCCTGAAGTGTTTTTAATAAATTACCAAGTGATATTGATGCCACTGGCCAGAGGAACAATCTGGAAACCAATGCCCACTAGTCTACTATTAGCCAATTAGCCAGAGGACTTTATCTTTCATGAATTCTTAGCCAAACATTCTGAATCAAACAGTATCTTCTCACAGTGAGTTTATGACAATTACAAAGCTGTACTAAAAAATGTGAATTAATCATATTAGCATAAACAAAGTCTTTTTAGAAAGGAAAATCAGGAACCAGCATGGTGGCATAGTAGTTGAAAGGCTGGATTCCCTCAGGGCCACTGGATACCCATACAGCCCATACCTAGGAGAGACCCATGAGACCCAGAACATGGCTGAGACCTGGACCATGCAGCTTGAAAAATCACTCCAGGCACATGTGTCAGTGTCTAAAGTCCCAGGAGAAGAGATTGCACCAAGGCGACCCACCTAAACACCCTGGAGTGATTTTTTACTTCACCCCTCCTCCCTCTCTTAGGAGCAAAGGCACCCTGTGGCAAAAACCTTAAAAAAAGAAAAAAGAAAAAAAGTAAAGAAAGAAAAAAGAATGAGAGAAAGAAAAGAAAAATCAAGTAGGAAAGTATTGATCTAATAATGTACTCTATAGAGTCAAAACAATCCATTTTACTTTTTTTTTTTGTAACTTCCAAAGGGCACATGAGCTAGCCAGAGAGAGAGGGGGAGAGCATTTTCCAGCCTGCCCTGGTCACCTGGTGGATAAGGGAGGCAGATCCCATATGGCTAACTAGACTCCACACAGCCAACTATGCAGTTTGAGTCCCTGGCCCAACAGCTTGAAAAACACATTGGGTGGGGCCAGCAGGTGGCATGGTGGTTAAAGTGCTGGACTCCCACATGGCTGAGTGTGATTTGAGTCCCAGATCTGGCAGCTTGCTTTCTCACTTTCCCTCAAACCGCAGTCGACTACATGGGAGTCCAGTGACAGCCATTATGCCATCTGCTGATCCCGAGATATTATAATTTCTAACAGTTAATCCACACTTGATAAGAATATATTACTAACCATATTGTATTATGTTGTCGGGAAAGTCATAATATATTTTGCTTTTCATTCAATGCAAAAATACATCATGGCTTTCCATCATCCCAGTATTTTAAAGTAAAATGAGTTGGTTCACTGCACAGTATAGTAAGTGTACCATACATTTAGCCCCAGATCCCATGTGGCTGGTCGTGGATCAAATCCAGGCCCCAGCAGCTTGAAAACAGGCTGTGCCTTAGGGCCAACAGTTGGCCTGGTGGTTAAGATGCTGGACTCTCACATGGCTGAATCTGCGGTTCCAGCCCTGAACCCAGCAGCTTGATAATCACTCCACACGTGAGCATGTGTGCCCAAAGTCCTGAGAGGAGAATGGAGGAGGAGGGACTGTAGCATGGTCATCTCCCCTGAGGGGTGCTTTCCTTTCTCTTTCTCTCTCTCTGTCCCTTTCTGAGGAGTGCACACACCTATGGCAAAAATGTAAAAAAAAGAGAGAGAGAGAGAGAAAGAAAAGGAAAATAGGCTCAGAATGTGTGTATACATCCCAAAATCCTAAAGGGATGGAGAAATGGAGGGAAAAGGATTGTAGCATGACCACTCCCCAACAGGGGGTATTTGTTCTCCCCCCCACTTCCCCCACTCCTTGCCTTACAAGCACATGCACCTTCTGGCAAACAAAGAAAAAGTAAAACAAAACAAATACAAGTAAAATAACAAAGCTGTTAACTGTGTATCTCAGGCAAGTAATTTAAAACTACTAAATACTTTAACATTCAAAAATTAACAGAATACATTAAACTAGAAGAAGCATTTAACATTATGATACAGACTAGAGTCGAGGAAAGTGCTTAGATAACAGAACTGCCTTCGTTAATATGAATCCTTGACTGTGTTCCATTCTGCAGTGCTTTCAACATTTGCTGACTACTGAATATCATGGCAGCAGGCAAAATTAACCTTCTTTCAAGAGACAGTATTTCACCTGAAAACTAGGAGACTGTCTTCAAATACAGTTTCGCCACCACATTTCTATGAATTTATATTCATAGTAAACAGCTGCTTCTTCCTTTAAGTATCTAGAGAGCAAAGATAGCTTATTCCAGGCAGTGAAGGGCAACAAGCATCAAGCAAGCCCTGAGTCTTCTTTAACTGGAAGGAGAGAGGATATTAAGAAGCTTTGTTTAAGTTAGCACAAAGAAAGCAAGTCCCCCTGGGACCAGCAGTTAGCGTAATGGCTATGTCACTGGACTCCCATGTAGTCGACCATGGTTCGAGTCCCGGACCCGGTGGCTTAAACTCACGCTGGGCGCATGTGCATGCGTTCCCAAGATCCCAAGAGGAGAATGGAGGAGAAGGGATTGCGGCGTGGCCATCCTCACCTGGGGGGTGATTTCTCGCTTTCTTTCTCTCTGTCTCTCTCTGTTTGGCAAGTGCATGCGCCCTATAGCAAAAACCTCTCCCCAAAAAAAAGAAGAAAAAAAAAAGAAAGAAAAACAAAGCAAGTCCCCGCAGCAGCAATACATCAGCACAATAGGAATGACTTGCCCCTGTGTTTCCTAGATTGAAAAGCTACAGAGGCTACTCAGGACAAAAGAATTCTATCCCCTCCTGGGCCAAGGGATGCTTCGGAACTCTCCTAAAGCACAGCTTCCCTGATTCTGTACCCACTCAGAACAAAAAGCAGACACCAGTACTTTGAGGCCTAGATCCAAACTCCACAGCACGTCAGTTCTATCAAGCTCAGTCTTCATTTTTCTCTCACCACTCACTTTACAAATTAAAGAATTCTGTTAAATTGGACTATTTACTCTTCGCCGAAAACATTCATCAGCATTTTTCCATCTTCAGCCTTTTGTGACTTCAGCCTCCTTTATTTGGAATATATATATATATATACATCCACTCTCAGCCTCTGCTGAAATCATCTCAGGATATCTATTTCACACATCAACTTAAGCTCAGAGTTTTGTTCTGTTTTTAAGATTGATTGATTTATTTAAATTTGACCAGAGTGAGACAAAGAGAGAGAAGGAAAGTAAGAAAGCAAGCCTCCAGGTCCAGGACTCAAACCGCAGTCAACCCACATGGGAGGCCAGTGCCTTAACCATGACGTCACCTGCTGGACCCCCAAGTCCAGTGTTTTAAAAACTCTTCTCTGAGAATCACGGCACCACCTAAACTTCCAAATAAGATTGGTATCTTCCTTCAATGTTCCTATTTGCAATTGACAGTAGTCCTCCCTTAGCCACTGGGATGTGTTCTGAGATTACCAATGGATGCTGAAACTACAGACAGTACAGACTCTTATACATACTGTGGGTTTTCTCCCTATACAAATATACCAATGATAAAGTTTATTTATAAATTAGGTTCAGTAAGAAATTAACATCATCAGGGAACAGCAGTTGACATAATGGCTATGTCGCTGGACTCCCATGTAGTCGACCAAGGTTCGTGTCCCTGACCCGATGGCTTAAACTCACGCCGGGCGCAAGTACGTACGTGCCCAAGATCCCGAGTAGAATGGAGGAAAAGGGATAGCAGGGTGGCCATCCCCCCTGGGGGTGATTTCTCGCTTTCTGTCTCCCTGTCTCTCTCTTTCTGGTGAGCGCATGCACCCTATAGCAAAAACCTCTCAAAAAAAAATAAATAAATAAATAACATGGTTAAGCTCTGTGGCAGAGTAGTAAACCACTGCTCAAAAGAAGCCAAATCCCACATGGTGAATGCAGTTTGAATCCCCAGTCTGCTCAGCCTCCAGGAACCCATGAAGGTGCTGAAAATCCAACAGACTAAAGAATTAAAGGAATGAAATCTTGGCATGACCATATCCTGTGAAGGGTGCTTATTCTGCTCTCTCACTTCCACATTTACACACATGCACTCCACCATGAATAAAGTATTAATTTTTTGAGAGGTTTTTTGCTATAGGGTGCATGCGCTCACTAGAGACAGAAACATGGCGTATAATGGTTACGTTGTTGGACTCCCACATGGTCAACTACAGTTCAAGACCCAGATATGGCAGTTTAAAACTCATGCAGGGCGCATGTGCGTGGATGCCCAAAATCCTGAGAGAAGAATGGAGGAGAAGGGATCGAGGTATGGCCATCCCCCGGAGGGTGGTTTCTCACTTTCTGTCTGTCTCTCCAGCAAGCATACACACCCTATAGAAAAAAATCTCTCTCAAAAAAATGAACTTGAAACCCAAATAGCTTGAAAACCACAAGGGACACATTTGTGGACATGCTCA